CGTGTTGGCCCGCCCCGCCCCCGCCCCGCCCCCGGGCCCCGAGTGAGCTGCTCTGGCCGCCGCGCGGGCTCAGAGCCGAGCAGCGGTGGGGAGCGGAGCGGCGGCGGGGAGCGGAGCGGCGCGCCCGGGGGGTGAGTGCCCCGCCGCCCTGCGGAGCCCCGGCTCTGCTCTCCACTCGCTTCCCGGCCCCGGGGGAGGAGTCCTGGCGCCCCACCCAGCTCTGGAGTGGAGGCAGCTCGGAGGCCACGCGCCGGTGTCAGCTCAGGCCCGGCTGTCGGGAGGACCTGGAGGATGGGGTGTTAGCCCGGGACCACCCCACAGAGTTAACCCCTGCTGCGTCTGGCTGGGAGGGAGGGACCCATTCTACAGACGAGGAAATTGAGGCCAGCCAACCAGGAAGTGGCTGGGCTAGAGGCGGTGGCGGGGGCCGGGAGTTGGCTGCAGGAAGGACTTGGAGAGGGGTGCAGGAGTGATAGAGAACTGCGGACCCTCACGGGGAAGCCGCTTGTGGGTCTAGCCCACTGCTGCCCTGGTGGCTGCAGGAGACAGGGTGCATTTCCCTATCACAGCGCAGGGGGAGGAGTGGCTGCAGGGGTGATGGGCTGCCCCCTTTGCTTGTAATCTGGCTGAGGTCCCCCGGCTGACGTAGTGACCGGGGTGTGAGAGGGGAGATGGGACTAGCCAGAGCAGGCCAGATCTAGGCTGGGACTGACCCCTCTCTGGGTTTGATCCCAGCTGGTCATGTGACCGTGAGCTTCTTAGCCTCAGCCAACCCACGTGCAAGACCGAGCCCCTGTTCCGAATTGGTGTTACCATAGGCATAGGGGCGGGTGGGGACTCTGGTTATTTTTGTCCATCTCCTCTCTCCTTTGCAAAGTCTTTTATTCAACCAAAGAGGAAGTAGAGGCCCAGAGAAGGCAAGTGACTTTCCCAGTGTCACACAGCTGACCACAGCCTGAACAGGGCCCCAGAGCCTTGGTCTCTGGCCTTCTGCCCTGTGGCTAGTCATGCCCTGGGGTGAGGGCACTAGGCCACCCGCCCACCCTTGCCTGTGAGCTCTCCTTTCCCAGGCTGGACACAGCCGCGGTTTCCTCTTCAGAGTTAAGCAAGCCAGGCTTTGGGGAGGAAGTGGCCAGTAGGGCAGGCCCAGGCGGCAGGCGGGGCACACCGGCGCCCAAAGCTCCCCTTTCTGGTGTGGCTTCACTGGTAGCACTCTCTCCACCCCCATCCCCAATTTGAGAGCTGAGGCAACTGTACCCTGCAGAGGGGCCCTGGGCCCCAGAGCAGTGACTGGACATCTCGGGGACCCATTGAAGGCCACCCCAGAGTCCAGGAAGTGCCTACTTCTGCTGGGTTGGAGCAAGGCCCTGGGCCTCCTGCCCAGTTCCATTTCATAGTTTCACTTTCTTTCAGTTTCAACACCTGGAAGGCTGTTCCCAACCCCCCACAGGCAAAGTGGGCTGCAGCCTAGTGGCCCAAAGCAACTCCCAGCCAATCCATTCCAGGTCTTTAGCCCCAGGGGACCTAGTGGAGAGAGACTCCAACCCCACCCCTCTGCTTGTGTAGGGCAGCTGACTGCAGGCACAGCTCAGCTGCCAGGGATGTCAGTTGTTACAGCCCCAGGACTGGAGCCTGGGGTCCCAGGACTAAGCCCGGTCTAAGGTGGGCGCTAGCTACTCCCTTGGGACAGGCAAGGATGCCATAGGCTGGCTTAGAGATAGCCTGTGGTGGGGCTGTGAGTCAGTGGGCTGACTCCAAGCCTTTCTTTGCTGCTTACTTCCTGTGGACCTCAACACCCTATTTCCCCTTCCTGGGCCGCAGTTTCCCCATCTGTCCAGTGGATGTACTGAATGCCTGATGGATCAGAAACTGCGGCTAACTCCTGACCAATCCCTGTCACCTGCCTTACAGGACCATGGGTTCTATGTTTAGGAGTGAGGAGGTAGCCCTGGTCCAGCTCTTCCTACCCACAGCGGCTGCCTACACCTGCGTCAGTCAGCTGGGTGAACTGGGCCTCGTGGAGTTCAGAGATGTGAGTAGGACGGGACAGGTCCTGTGATGACCCCTGGCCCCCTGCAGGGCACCCTGACACTCCTGCAGACATAGGCACTCTGCCCTCTCCCACTCACACCTTCCCTGAAACCAGGGCACTGGACCGCTCATGGGGCATCTAGCAACTTTTTGGAGGAGGCACCTCAGGTCTGAGCAAAGCCAGGCCTGGACCCCAGGACAGGGACATCCCAGGCCTTCCCTGAGACCCTGACTCCTCTGTGCCGCCTCTGTAGCTCAACGCATCTGTGAGTGCCTTCCAGAGACGCTTTGTGGTCGATGTCCGTCGCTGTGAGGAGCTGGAGAAGACCTTCAGTGAGTTAGCCCCAGGCCCACATGCCAGACTGACTTCTTGGAAGGGGCACTAGGCAATCTTGATCTGAAAGGAAATGTCCAGGTTATACAGGGGCAGGCAGACTGCTAGGATCTGCAGGGTGTTCTTGACTGTGGCTGGGTAGGGCAGAGGACCCAGGGCAGGGCTGACATGGAGTAGGTCCATAACACCACCTCATCCTTTGAATGATGGGAGATAAGAGGTGTGGACTAAAATCTCTTCTCTGGTAGCCTGGGGCAGAGGCTAGGCCTAGTGTTGGATACCCCTGAGACCAGCTCCTTCTTAGGCCTAGAGATGAGGGGAGCTGGGGGAGCTGAGTTTCTGGGATAGGTGTTTTGTTTTGTTTTTTGTCTTTTCTGAGGCAGGGTCTCCCTGTACCCTCAGCTGGAACTCACTATGTAGACCAGGCTGGCCTTGAACTCACAGAAATCCTCCTGCATTTGTCTCCCAAGTGCTGGGACTAAAGGCGTGCGCCACCATGCCTGGCCCAGGACAGAAGTTTGACCTGGAACTTTTCTGGAGTTCAAACTCAATGGATTAGTGACTGAATTTGAAGTGCATTTGGGACCTCTCCCCTGAGAAGTTTGCAGCTCCTGGCAGATAGTCAGCATTCACTGGTATAACCCCATGTGGTCTTCCTTGAACCCTGTCTGTGTGTCTAGCCTTCCTGCAGGAGGAGGTGCGGCGGGCGGGCCTGACGCTGCCCCCACCAGATGGGAGGCTGCCAGCACCACCTCCTCGAGACCTACTGCGCATCCAGGAGGAGACAGACCGCTTGGCCCAGGAGCTGCGGGATGTGCGGGGCAACCAGCAGACGCTGCGGGCCCAGCTGCACCAGCTGCAGCTCCACTCGGCTGTGCTGGGCCAGAGCCATGGTCCCCCGGTCAGCCCCAGCCTGGGCAGGGATGGGGCAGGGGGCGGATATACCAACCCAGCCTGGGCCAGGACTCACAATGTCTCTTCATGCCCAGTTGGCAGCTGCCCACACAGAAGGGCCCTCCTCCGAGAGAGCACCCTGGCTTCCAGCTTCCCCGGGGCCACAGGAAGACCTTAAGGTCAAGTGAGTGAAGACAGTGTGTCCTTTCTTGGACAGGGCCCTGACCAGAGAAGGGGACGGGCTGGCCCCAGCACCATGCCTGTATCCCTTGTCCTCTGTCTCCTTCCTGAGGCCTGGAACTTTCCTTAGTTCTGAGGCCCTGCCCATGGGGAGTTCCCTATGTGGTGTCTCCTGCTAAGCTGAGTGGGGTGGGAGGCTGGAACCCCCATCTAGCTCCGGCTGCTAGCTTTGTGGCAGGTGCCGTGGAGCCCTACAAGGCCGCCGCCCTGGAGCGCCTGCTCTGGAGAGCCTGCCGAGGCTTCCTCATCGCCAGTTTCAAGGAGACTGAGTCACAGCTGGAGGACCCCGTGACGGTGAGCTGGCAGGGGCCAGGCTGAGGGCAGCCTGGGAGAAGCCAGGGCTCCAGGGTTAACTGAGCCTGACTGACTCCCTTAGGGAGAGCCTACCACCTGGATGACCTTCATCATCTCCTACTGGGGTGAGCAGATTGGACAGAAGATCCACAAGATCACAGACTGGTGAGCCACATGGGCACTCTGGCCACACCCTGGGCCATCGGGTCTCTGCAGGCGTAGGGCCACCTCTTCAGGCTCCTAGTTGGACATTGCTAGCCCTGTGTGACCCAGGCCTCTGATAGCACCTCCATCGAGCCTGTCCTACCCCAACTCTGTCTGGTGGCTCCCAGACTGAGCTCATACCTTCGTTGTTTGCCCCAGTTTCCACTGCCATGTCTTCCCCTACCTGGAACAAGAGGAAGCGCGGAGTGGGGCCCTGCAGCAGCTGCAGCAGCAGAGCCAGGAGCTGCAGGAGGTGCGTGCCACGACCCAAGCCCTGGCCACACCCTCACTGCCCACTTCTGATCACATTTTCTGGCACCAGGTTCTGGGGGAGACTGAACGGTTCCTGAGCCAGGTTCTGGGTCGGGTGCAGCAGCTGCTGCCGCCAGGGCAGGTGCAGATCCGCAAGATGAAGGCTGTGTACTTGGCCCTCAACCAGTGCAGCGTGAGCACCACTCACAAATGCCTTATCGCAGAGGTCTGGTGTGCCACGCGAGACCTGCCCGCCCTGCAGCAGGCACTGCAGGACAGCTCGGTGAGCATACTGGGGCTGCCAGGGGCTCACCCTCTCCTCCCCTTCCCTCTGCCTCCAATCACACCTCCAGCCTCCAGAGCCTCACTTTCGATCTGGAGTTGGGGGAGGGGGGTCTCTGTCCCAGAAGCCACCTCCTCCAGGGTGTCACCCAGATGGCACTGGGCCCACACCCCTTCCTCTGACTGCCCAGAGTCCTTGCAGACTACACAAAACAATTATAAAGTTGGGATCCCTTGGCACTGGCCATGTGGCCTGAGCCTGTTGGGAGCCTCGGGCCCATCACCAGCGGGTGCAGCAGCCCTCTCCATGGGTGGCGCTGCAGCACAACCCTGCTGGTGTGGGGTAGGTGCTCTGGGGTAGGGATAGGCTCCCTCTTCCTGGCCACCTGTTGAGAAGGGCCCCACTTCCCTTTTGCAAGTGTCCCTCATTTGGGCAGGGTGGGGCTTTTTCCCCATCCCCCCACCTCTGTGCCCACCAGGAGTTGTCCTCCGTGGTCCACATCTCAGTGGGGTCTGACTGGGGGTGAAGGTCTCTGAAGGTCCCTCCATCATCCTCTCTCTACCTGGCTACCCAGAGTGAAGCAGGAGTGAGTGCTGTGGCTCACCGCATCCCCTGCCGGGACTCGCCTCCAACTCTCATCCGCACCAACCGATTCACAGCCAGCTTCCAGGGCATCGTGGATGCCTATGGCGTGGGCCGCTACCAGGAAGTCAACCCTGGTGAGAGCCACTGCACCTCCCCCAGGGCCAGCCCTCCCCTCTGTCTGTGCCTCAGGGAAGCCCTTGCTGCCCATGGGGTACAAGCCTGGCGGGGTTGGGGAAGGCATCCCCGCTCTGGCCTGCCCTATCCTCTTCCCACAGGCATATTCCTCAGCTCACTCTCTCTGGGGGGGGCTCTGGAGGGCCACTGTGTTTGTCCTCAGTGAGTTCTGCTGTTCAATCCACATGGGTGTCAGCACCAGCCAGTGCAAGGAATAGGGGCTTGATACAGCAAGAATGACTCAGAAGTTCAGCTTGCTTGTTTTGATGAGTTTGTTTCCGTGGGCCTCATTTTTTCTCCTCGTATTTCCTGTAAAATGGGAATAGCAATCCAAGTCCAAGAGAAGTTGGGATGGTGACTGTTATGGATTATTCAGCCATGCTGTGGTTCTTTTTGTGGCTGGGCGTGGTGGTGCACACCTTTAATCCCAGCACTGGCAGGCGGATCCCTGTGAGTTCAAGGCCAGCCTCGGCTACATAGCAAGCTCAAGTTCAGCCTAGGCTACAACATGCTGTCTCAGAAAAAGAAAACAAACATTTGTGGGAGCAGAAATGGCCTCGCAGCTCTGGCAGCTGGGAGTCCAAGGTCAGGGTGTTAGCTGGGCTGATCCTCCTGAGGGCTGTCAGGGAAAGTCTGTTCTGGGACTTTCTCCCAGGCTGTGGACAGTTGTCATGGCCACGTGGTTTTTCTCTTTTCCTCTATCTATATCTAAATGTCGCTGGTCACACTGGATGTAACTCCACTGTTTAGCTTCGTCCTAACCTGACCATGTCTCTAAAGACCTCTCCAGGTCGAATTCTGAGGGGCTAGGCGTCAGGGGTGACAATCTGATCTTCTGAGGGGCTCAAAATTCAGCACCTAACTAGACATGTGCACCGGACCCCTCTAACCCTACTTCCAGAGTGTGAATGACCAGCTCAGCCTGCTGGAACTTGCTGAGTGCCTGCCAGGATCCACTGGCTCTCTGTCCTTTGAGTGCTCATGTAACACTTCTGTTTTTCTCTCTCCCTCTCTTTGTCATGATCTGGTTTTTTTTTTTTTAACTTAGAAAAAAAATATTTATTTTTAGTTTATGTGTATGAGTGTCTTGCGTGCATGCATGTAAATGTACCACATGCGTGCAATGCCTGCAGAGGCCAGAAGAGGCCATGGGGTCCCCTGGCAGCTACAGGTGGTTGTTAGCCACCATGTGGGTGCTGGGAATCCAATCCAGGTCCTCTGAAAGCCAGTCCTCTTAACTACTGAACCATCTCTCCAGCCCCTTTTGCTTTTTTGTTTTTGTTTTTTTGTCTTTTTGAGACAGGGTCTCCCTGTAGCCCCAGCTGTCCTGGAACTCACTATGTAGACCAGGCTGGCCTTGAACTCACAGAGATCCGCCTGCCTCTGCCTTCCAAGTGCTGGGACCAAAGGCGTGTGCCTGGCAACACTGAACTTCTAATCCTCTTTCCTCCACCTCCCAAGAACTGGAATTACAGGCTTACACCATCATGCCCAGTGTATGTAGTGCTGGGGACGGAATCGAGGGCTTTATACATGGAAGGCAAGCTCTTTACCAAGCTATGTACCCAGCCCCTGCCTCGCTCGCTCCCCTGCCCTACTTTAGTTTTCTATTTTGTTTTGTTTGTTTTAAGTCTTTTGGGGACAGGGTCTCCCTGTAGCCCCAGCTGGCCTGGAACTCACTATGTAGACCAGGCTGGCCTCAAACTCACAAAGATCCGACTGTCCCTACCAAATGTAATTTTAAAAAGAACACCTAACACTGGAGCTGGGGAGCTGGCCGGGTCAGTCAAGCTTGAGGACCTGAGTTCAGATCTCTAGAACCCACGTAAACAGCTAGGTGCAGAAGTGCAGTGCTTTAACCTCAGCAGCGGTGAGACAGGAGGCGAGACGGAGGTCCCTGGAAGCTCTGGCCTGAGAGTCTAGCTTATGAAGCTCCAGGCCACTGAGAGACAGGGTCTCAAACAAAATGCCGTAGGCTCCTGGGGTACCAACCCAAAGTTGTCCTCTGACCTACACACACATGCAGACACATGTACGCTTGCACACATGCATATACAAAGAGAGACAACACAAATAGGTCAGGAGGATCAGGAGCTCAAGACCAGCCTGGGCAATGTAGCAGCATCTCCGTCTTTAAATAAATTGTAGTTACTTGTTTAAAGCTAGAACTGCTGCCGTTATGCATAGCTGTAGCCCTGGCTGACTGCACCTGTCTCCTGCAGCTCCCTACACCATCATCACATTCCCCTTCCTCTTCGCTGTGATGTTTGGCGATGTGGGCCACGGGCTGCTCATGTTCCTCTTTGCCCTGGCCATGGTGCTTGTTGAGAACCGGCCAGCTGTGAAGGATGCGCAAAACGAGGTACAGACCCCAGGTACCTGGCAGGGCTGGGCAGCAAGGCGGGGCGGCCTCTCATCGCACCATCCCTGCAGATCTGGCAGACATTCTTCGGGGGCCGCTACCTGCTCCTGCTCATGGGTCTGTTCTCTGTCTACACTGGTTTCATCTACAATGAGTGCTTCAGCCGCGCCACCACCATCTTCCCCTCGGGCTGGAGCGTGGCCGCTATGGCCAACCAGTCAGGCTGGAGGTGAGACCTGTGTTCCTGGCCCCTGGGGCCCCTGACCCAATGTGCAGCTCTGATGCCTACCCATTGTCACTGCAGTGATGAATACCTATCTCAGCATCCCATGCTCACCCTGAACCCCAACATCACCGGTGTCTTCCTGGGACCCTACCCCTTTGGCATTGACCCGGTGAGTTATGAGTGGAGGCAGGTGAGAGGGCTGACTGGGGTTTGCCAGCTCCCTTTACTTACTGCCCCTTTGGCAACTGGCACTGAGCACCCCCTCTGTGCCAGGCCCTGTACTAGAACAAAGGCCTCTCAGAATAGCAGCCAGGCTGGGTGTGGTGATGCACACCTGTAATTCAAACCCTTGGATGGTGGGGGGCAGGGGAATCACAAGTTCAAGGGCATTCTGGGCTGCATAGAGTCCAAGGCCAGCCTGAGCTAATTGAGACTTTGTTTCAAAAAACCAGAACAGAATAGCAGCCAGGCATCTGTGAAAATGTCTGTCTGGTCCACATGACAATCCCACAGGCATCCATTAGCATCACTTTTGTACAGATGAGGCCACACGTCTGAGTCGCTCAGCTGGAAAGAACTGGGCTTGAGCCCTGGTCACCTGTCCTGACCTGTGAGCTCAACTATTCACTCCCTCTTTCTGTCCCTAAGCAGGGGGCAGGTGCCCAATGGGGCATCGGGGTGATGAGACAGACTTGTGGGAGTGGGGGAGTCTTGGCAGCACTGGCTGGGTCCCCTGAATGCCTAACCTCCCCTCAATATCCCAGATCTGGAGCCTGGCTACCAACCACCTGAGCTTCCTCAATTCCTTCAAGATGAAGATGTCTGTCATCCTGGGGGTCACCCACATGGCCTTTGGGGTGTTCCTCAGTGTCTTCAACCATGTGTAAGCACAGGGCCACCCACGGTGGGGTAGCCCTGTGGAGCCAGGGCTTGCTGTGACCTGCCTGCTCCCCACAGGCACTTTGGGCAGACGCACCGACTGCTACTGGAGACCCTGCCCGAGCTCCTCTTTCTGCTGGGCCTCTTCGGCTACCTCGTGTTCCTCATCATCTACAAGTGGCTGCAGGTCTCGGCTGCCCGAGCTGCCTCAGCCCCCAGCATCCTCATCCACTTTATCAACATGTTCCTCTTTGCCAGCAGCACCACCAACCAGCCGCTCTTCCACGGGCAGGTGGGCCAGGGCAAGGGGACAGCTCAGAGCCTGTGGCTGAGGACTACCCGCCGCCCCTCCCCCTACTGTGATCACCGAGCTACTTAGAGCTACAGTGTCATCTGTGGGTCAAGAGCCCTGATGACAGGGTAGTCAAGTGGAGCGGGCAGGGGTCTCACAGTAGGTGCTGGGAGCCTGGGGTCCCTCTCAATGTCCCTTGCTAGTGAGGGTCCCTGGGGGAGGGTCTGCAGTTCCTCCCAAGCTCAGGCACTCAGAATGTGCTGTGCACGACTGACTTGCCCTCCTTGCCCACAGGAAGTGGTACAGTACGTGCTGGTGGTCCTGGCTTTGGCCACGGTGCCCATCCTGCTGCTAGGCACGCCCTTGTACCTGCTGCGCCAGCACCGCCGCAGAAGTACTCAGAGAAGGCCAGTGGGCCGACAGGTAGACACAAGGATGGGCACAGGAAGGAGGCCTGCGTGGGAGGGGACCCTCTGCTTCCTGCAGGCTCCTGAGCACACGGCTGGGTGGGTGGCACGGGCTGTTCTGGGGTGAGGAGTTCCTGATATTGGCAGCTTGCAGGACGCGGAAACTGACAAGCTTCTGCCCTCCCCTGATGCCTCCACCTCTGAGAACAGCTGGACCCACGACGAGGAGAAGGCAGGATGTGCAGGGGGTGACGAGGAAGCTGAGGTAGGTGCAGTGCCTTGGGGGGAGGGGGCTACCAGCCCCCACTGTCATCTCACTGCCCCTTGCCATGCAGTTTGTCCCCTCTGAGGTCTTCATGCACCAGGCCATCCACACCATCGAGTTCTGCCTTGGATGTATCTCCAACACGGCCTCCTACCTGCGCCTCTGGGCCCTGAGCTTGGCCCATGCCCGTAAGTGACCTTTCTAGGCCTCAAGCATCCCACCGTGGCAAAAGGGACTGTCCACAAAGGTGCCTCAGATGGAGGAGGCCGAGCAGGGGGCTGGCAAGTGTACCCTCACCCCTGGCCTGTGTCCTCCTTGTGTGCAGAGCTGTCCGAGGTCCTGTGGGCCATGGTGATGCGTATAGGCCTGAGCATGGGCAGGGACATAGGTGTGGCTGCTGTGGTGCTGGTCCCCGTGTTTGGGGCCTTTGCCGTGATGACCGTGGCTATCTTGTTGGTGATGGAGGGGCTCTCGGCCTTCCTGCATGCCCTGAGGCTGCACTGGTGAGCACCTACATCCGGTGGGCCAGGGCACGGGGTTAGGGGGGGTGGAAGGCTCCCCTCACCGGTCCTCCTTTTTCACCCACAGGGTGGAATTTCAGAACAAGTTCTACGCAGGCACTGGCTACAAGCTCAGCCCCTTCACCTTCGCTGTAGAAGAGGTGTAGTGCCCACTGCAGAGAATGCCCACCCAACTCCTCAATGGAAGCAGAAAAGAAATAAAGAGCTGGCAGGCCCAGGGATTTGGCTTTGGTCCTCTCTGGGACACCACGGCTGGGATGACCCCGAAGTGGGTGGGTTCCAAGTATCTACCTGCTTAGACCATCCTTTAGCTGAAGGAGAGCATGGGACGCACTGGCCTAGGATCTGGGCCTTGAAAAGTTGGGGTGTGTACCCATGAACACCTCTGTAGACGCTCAAAGGCAGCCAAGGAGGGATCTAGTTTGGGTGGCCTGGATTCCAGGACAGATGGGAGGAGCGCTCCATCCTTGGAGGTGTGCAGACTGGCCTGACTTCAGGCCCTCCCTCCCTGGGTGGCCTCCTGCTGAGGTCCTGAGGTCTCCCACCATGTCAGGCTAAGCTGGGGGCGACCTCCTGTGCTCCCTTTGGCTGGCTGGGAGGCATAGTCCATGCATTTCAGAGACCTCCAAGTTTTCCAGCCAGCAAGTTACAAAGTAATTGTTGGAGCTGAAGTCCCCAGCAGCAAAGGCTGCTTTGAGGCCAGAGCTGCCCTAGGCACAGCCAGTCACTATGGTGCTGGCCAGCTGCTGGGAGGGGCCTGGATTGTCCTGTTGAGGACCCCTGAATACTGGGGTTGGGGGCACCGTGGTACCAGGGTTTTGAAGTATTTTAAATGGTTGGCGGACTAGGCGCCAAGAAACATGGTAACAGAGCTGGGCAGGTGAGATGCTCGGGCTGAGGGTGGGAGTCCCCAGGAGATAGCAGCAAGCCCTGCCCTGGCTCTGATGTTCTGCTTACCTGGGCTAGGCAGTCCTGGTGCCATGGGAACAGGATGCAGTGGCAGCACCAGCAAGCACTGTTTCTGGTCATCAGCACTGGCTGAGGTAACCACACGGGGTCCTACCTGATCCCTGGTAGGATCTTATCTGGAAGTGGTGGACAGTCAGTGAGGGTGTGGGGCTGCCAGGGCAATTTGGAAACAGCACTGTCACAGAAAGGTTAGAAAAGTGTGAGGGTGACAGCTGAGGGTGAGGTTGTGAGGCGTCTTGGTGATCAGCAGGCAAGCTGCATTTGAGCTCGTGGAGCCAGTGTAGGCTGAGTGTGGGCAGGGCCAGGCAGCTATGGCTGCCTTCATCCTGTGTGCCAAGCAGAGCGCTCTGGGAGACTGCGTGCAGGACAGAGGACAGCAGCAGCACGCAGTGTCCTTGCTGCAGGTGCAATGGCTAGACCAGTGAAGCTCTCCCTGCTGCTGAGAGCCTTACACCTGGAGAAGTGGCGGAGCGAGGTAAATGGGTGTCAGATCCCAGGGACCTCAACCAGGAGAACATCGGGAGCCCAGAATGTGGTGGCCCAGATGGTGAAGTGTCACAAGGAGGAGGAAGATGCCCAACCGGGTGCTGGTCCTGGGTGTTGACGGAGAGGAAGGTTAGGACACATGGGGTACAGCCTGAGGGTAGGTTTGAATTTGTTTATTTCGCTGTATAATACAGTCTTGGTGGTAGCAGAAATATACGCACAAACAATTCATAGTTGAGTAAAAAAAGTCTTAAGAGCTTATCCCAATGGACATGAACACACATGGATTTCACAGCTCTAGTCCACCTGCACCCACCACCCCACAATCAGCTGCATCAGAGGGGAGGAAACGGAGGCCAGGAATGCTGGCTCCTAGCAGAGCCAGGGGCAGGGAGGCAGCTTCAAAGGGCCCTGGGCAGAAGCCAAAGCTCCAGGCCAGGCAGAGGGACGGCAAGGGTTCCCCAGGGAAGCTGGAGCTGTAAAACACACCAGTCAGGGGCTCTGGGGTTATGACCAGCGAGTGGTGCTGCTCCATACAGTCACATGTACCACAGACATGGGAGGCTGCAGCCACCACCTGCAGCTGTAGCGCACAGCCCAGCGAACCCAGCTTCTCCAGCAGCAGTGTCTGCCCCTCCATAGACTACAGGCCTCAGGCTCAGCCCAGGGAGCCACTTCACAGTAGGTCTGTGTGCTCACGCTCAGGAACGAGGACTGTCTAACACATCGTTACCACAGAGCCTGGTCACGATGTGTTGCAGCACATGAAGAAAATGCCCCAAGTCAGCACTCACCAAGGCACCCACCGTGGCACTGCTCGGTGCGGCCAGTTGTGCGCAGCTGCAAGCCATAGCCTCGTGGGCAGAGGAGAGAGGCCTCAAGATTAGAAGGGTTCTAGGATATTGCACTATTGTGCTATATTTCTGCTCCCTAATGGCGGCTCAGAGTCCTAGTGAGAGTGTAAACAAAGTATGAAAGAAATATCACTCCACTTTAATACAGTCTGTGGTACACACATCGGCGCTCAGTAGTGAGACGTCCACGGCCTTCCTCCTGGGGCAGTGGTCACAGCGGCATCAAGGCCTGGTGCAGCCACCTCCCGAAGTCCAGTGGTAAGGGGTGGAGTCTTCTCATTCACACCCCAAGCTTCCTCTTCTGGTCAAAATAAGCATCGAACCTGGCTTGGGCATACTCCTGGGAGAAAACAAATAGGTCTCACTCACTATGCAGCCAGGCTGACTTGAACCAAGATGCTCCTGCCTCAGCCTCCCAAATGCTGGGCTCCCGCTATGCCCAGTGAAAATGCTCTTCTGTATCTCTTAACTGACGTCCTGAAATCGATCTTACACTGGCATCTGATCAAGTCTAATTAAAAAACCTTTTTATTGCATTTCATTGGGGAGGGTGGGAAATTGCACACGTGCCACAGAGCACATGCAGAGGCCAGAGGACAACATGCAGGAAGTTTTCTCCTTCCACCACAGGTCCCAGATACTGAACTCAGGGCATCAGCTTGGTGACAGGCGCCTTTTCCAGTCCAGCCATCTCGCTAGCCCCCAAATCTGCTTTGATAATCCAAATTTCCTCATGGTATGGTCACCAGACTACCTACCTAAAGTAGAAATCAGTCCAGCATGGGACCTGGCCCAGGAAAGGGCACTCAATGGACCACAGAGTTTTGTTAGGTCTCTATTCCTGACAACCCTCCCAACACAGCATCTATCCAAACATTAAAATGGTGTTAAGGCCAGTCCGGTGTTACGACAAATGACAGCCTAGCTTAAAGAAAGTAGGAGCTGGCTGTGGGCATTACAGGTTGGAGTGTGGAGTGGAGCAGGTGGGTATAGCTGCACAGCATGGGGAGGCACCTCCCTCACCCTGTCCCTTATATCTGAAGGTACTAGTCACGCTGACGTCCAAAGTTCCAATTTTCCTGTGTCCCAGACAGACCAGGCCCAGCAAGGCTCGTCTGAAGCTGGCAGGCTGTACCGACAGGCCTGGAGTGAGGGGCTCCAGAGCCACGCTGCCTGTTCCCACCAGGACAGCATGTTCAGGGTTTGGAGAAAGCAGATAACCTGCAACAGCAGCAGCTACTGCCAAGATTCACATCCACTGGAGCACTTCTCCCCAGTGAAGGGAACGGGCCCTAGCACATACCATGTATCCAAATTCAATGGATGAAATCTTGGCCTGAACGATGGACCAAAGTCCCCAGAGGAAATGCGAGGCGAGGGCAAACCTGCAATCACAAAAGCAACAGCACAGGAGCCATGTGGCATCAGCCAGAGCCCTGAGGAAGCCATCCTAGGCAGATAGCCATGAACCAGGCATGTCTCTCCTGTAACCGCTATCTTGGTCCTTCTGTGGGATGGTGTGTGTGTGTGAAGGGACTGGCATCTTCCCACCACTGGCAGGGACAGGTAGACTTAACGGGTATGAACATACCCCAGTGCCTGGCAAGGACACACAACTGACGTTCCCAGGAGACTGTGGTGGCCATGCTTTGTTACAAGGGTGAGTACGTAGGGGCTGGAGAGACAGCTCAGCAGTTTAAGAGTACCAGCTGCTCTTGCAGAGGACCTGGGTTCGATTCCCAGCACCCACATGGCAGCTAATAACTCTAACTCCAGTTCCAGGGGATCCAACACCGTCTTCTGACCTCTGTGGGCACTGCACAACACAGGTGCACTTACATACATGCACGGAAAAAACTCATACACATAAAATAAATAAAAAATTTTTAATTATTAAGAAGAAAACAAAAGTGTGAGTGTACAGAGCCCACAAGACCAGCAGCTCCTGAGAACCCGCCATGCTGCTGCCAGACAGTTCGCTCCCAGAATGGGAGGCCTCCTGAATCCACCCTCATCCCACGCCTCCACTCACACTCAAGTGTGACAGAAGCTGCGTGGAGCCAGGTCACCACCTCCAGCCCCACATCAGTGCAAGGAAACACCACGCACCGCTCGTCAACTAGCAGGCCACTTGGCACAAACCCCAGAAAGGAGAGCTCACCTATTGACTTCAAGCAGCATTTCTTCTTCAACAACAGATCGTTCTTCACTACTGAGATTTGCAAAATCATTTTGGAATGTAGTCAAGTAACTAGAAATAAAATGGAGCTTAAAAAAGAAGGAACCGTGTTAGAATGGATGATAAACACACACTGCCACTAGCTCCACAAGTACTCTAGCACACGCTGCACTGCCGCAGAGGAAAAGCAGCTCTGGACAAGGCCAAGACGCCTTCTGACCCTGGGTCTGTGGGTATTTTACTCATTTACAGTCACAAACTGGAGTTTTCCTAAGATTCCACGACAGCATTACAAAATAATAAATTCAAACATGAACCCCAAAAGATCACACATTTTAAATGATCTAATATGGCTTAAAGAAAAGTGCCCTGAGAGCGCCTGGATCCGGCCTCCTCCTGGTGGTGAGCTTCCCCAAATCGTGCCATGCCTAACCCCATAACTGGGACCATGTGAGGACCCTCCCACTTCACCATGTGAGGACCAGGGCTAGACCGCTCTGCCCTACAGTAGTGGCTGAGACTTTAGCAGACCTCCTGAGAGCGCCTGGATCTGGCCTCCACCTGGTGGTGTGCTTCCCTAAACTGCACCATGCCCAATCCCCTGCATTGGGACCACGTGAGGCCCTTCCCACTTTGCCAGGGCTAGACCTCTCTGCCCTATAGTAGGGGCTGAGACCTTAGCAGACCGACTGAGTGTGCCTCGACCTGACCTCAGCCTGGTGGTGAGCTTCCCCAAGAGGCCGCTCCCATGTCAAGGCTAGACCTCTCTGCCCTACAGTAGGGCCCAGACCTCAGCAGACCACCTGAGAGTGCCTGGATCCAGCTGCCTTCACAGTATTGATCTTCCCCAATCCCCTGCTTTGGGAACACATGTGGCCCCTTCTACTTTGCCAGGGCTAGAACTCTCTGCCCTACAGTAGGGGCTGAGACCTTAGCAGACTGCCTGAGAATACCTAAATTGGGCCTCCCCTTACCTATGACTGCCGGCTAGTAGGGGTCCAGACATTAGAAGGAAGCCTGAGTGTACCCCTGACTGGAGCCTGACTTGGGCCTCTGCGGGAGCTCCTGAGTAGCTGATCTGAAGCCATCAGTTCCCTCCAATACAAAATCTGAGAGGACCTAGACCAACTAGTTTTACATACCCAGTAAGAAAACAACCAAGGCAGGAGCTAGAGAGATGGCTCAGTGGTTAAGAGCACTGACTGCTCTTACAGAGGACCCAGACTTGATTGCCAGCATCCACATGGCGGCTACGAACTGTCCTTAACTCCAGTTCCAGGGGAATCCGAAGGCCCCTTCTGACCTCCGCGGCATTGCACAACATGGGTGCACTCACATACACGCAGGCAATACACTCATACACATCAAATAAAAATAAATAAAATATTAAAAAAAAGAAAGAAAATAATCAAGGCATACCTAGAATATAAAGACAAGCAGACTTCAACTTAATAAAGGAAAGCCTGAGTTTCATACCAGAATCACAACAAAAGAAATACAAGTGCCAAAATCACAACAGAAAAATAATAATATGGCTCAGTGGTTAAGAGTACTGACTGCTCTTGCAGAGGACCAGGGTTCCATTCCCAACACCCACGTGGTGGCTAACAACCATCTATAACTCTAGTTACAGGGGATCCGACGTTCTCTTCTGATCTCCGTGGGCATTATATAACACAGATGCACTTATATACATGCAGGCAATACACTCATAAACATAGAATAAAAATAATAAATAAAATATTTAAAGAAGCCGGGCATGGTGGTGCACACCTTTAATCCCAGCACTCAGGAGGCAGAGGCAGGCAGATCTCTGTGAGTTCAAGGCCAGCCTGGTCTACATAGTGAGTTCCAGGACAGCTGGGGCTACAGGGAGACCCTGTCTAAAAGACCAAAAGAAAAAAAAAATTAAAGAATTGGGGGTAAACTTCTGACTGAATTCACAAAAGAGATAGAAATATTGAAGAAAACTCAGGGTGAAATGAAGAAGGAAGCGAAAAACTCAGTAAGTCAAATTGAAACAACAGGAGAAAACCTCACGGATAGAATGAATGAAATGGAAAACAGAGTATCAACACTGGAGGATAAAGTTGAAGAACTGGCCCACTCAAGCAAAGACTATGAAAAATCTTTAAAAGCACAGGAATGGAATATGCAGGAAATGTGGGACACCATGAAAACACCAAATTTACGGATCATAGGCACAGAGGAGGGAGAAGAGTTTTAGGTTAACAGTGCTAACCAGATCTTTAAAAAGTTCCAAAATAAAGGAAAGACATCCCCATACAAGAAACACATAGAACACCAAACAGACAGGACTCCCCACGGCACATCATAGTAAAAACACTAAATGTACAGAACAGAGAGAGAACACTGAAAGCAGCAAAAGAAAAACAAGTCACATGCAAAGGAAAGCCCATCAGAATGACAGCTGACTTATCAATGCAAACTATGAAAGCCAGATGAGCCTGGACCAAGGTATTTCCAGTTCTACATGACAATAGATGCCAGCCCAGAATGCTATACCAAGCAAAAATGTCTACTACAGTTGAGGGGGAAAGAAAAATCTTCCATGACACAAAGAGACAAAGAATACACGTCCACAAAACCAGTGCTAGCAGAGAGAGAAACAACTATACCCTAGGGGCAACGAAAGAAAATAAACAAAGACATAATCTAGGAAACACAAAATTACACAGAGAACACAAACAGCAATCAAAATGACAGCAACCAATACACACCTTTCAATAATAACCTTAATTTTCAATGGACTGGATTCCCTAGTCAGAAGACACAGACTAGTGGAATGGATTAAGAAACAAAATCCGGGGCTGGAGAGATGGCTCAGTGGTTAAGAGCACTGACTGCTCTTGCAGAGGACCAGGTTCGATTCCCAGCACCCACATGGTGGCTTTGAACCGTCCTTAACTTCAGTTCCAGGGGACTCTGACGCCCTCTTCTGACCTTTGTGGCATTACACACATGGGTACACTCACATACATGCAAACAATGCACTCATACACATAAAATAAAAATAATAAATAAAATATTGGGCCGGGCATGGTGGCGCACACCTTTAATCCCAGCACTCAGGAGGCAGAGGCAGGCAGATCTCTGTGAGTTCAAGGCCAGCCTGGTCTACATAGTGAGTTCCAGGACAGCTGGGGCTACAGGGAGACCCTGTCTCAAAAAGACTAAAAAACAAATAAATAAAAAAATACATAAAATATTTAAAAAAGAAACAAAATCCATCTCTTTGCTGTCTGCTAGAAACCCATCTGACCTTCAAGGACAGGCACCACCTTAAGGTGAAAGGATGGAAGAGAATATTCCAAGCAAACGGCACTGAGAAACACACAGGGTTGTAATTCTAATATCTGACAAAATAGACTTCAAAGTAAAACTAATTATAAGGAGGGTCACTTCATTCTGATCAGAGGAACAGTTAACCAAGAAGATATTACAATCCTTAACATATATGCACCGAACTCTGGTGCATAACTCATAAAATGGAATCAAATTCATTAAAACAGTACTACAGGACTTTAAGACACAGATGAACCCCAACTCAGTAATAATAGGGGACTTTAACACCCCACTGTCCTCATTAGACAGGTCAACCAGACAAAGAATAAACAGAGACATCTGAATTTTAAATGATATCATACATCAAATGGACCTAACAGACATCTACCGAATGCTCCACCCAACCACCAAAGATACACTTTCTTTTTTTTTGGTCTTTTTGAGACAGGGTCTCCCTGTAGCCCCTATGGAGGCCAAACTGGCCTCAAACTCCCAGAGATCCGCCTGCCTCTGCCTTGAGTGCTGGGATTAAAGGCGTGTGCCACCACGCCCGGCAAGAATATACTTTTTAGTCTGCACTCCATGGAGTGTGCCCGCATACTGGGGCACAAAACAAACCTCAACAAACAAACAAACAAAAACTGAAATCATTCCATGCATTCCATCAGACCACAACTCAATAACTTAAAATCAACACCAGAAGAAACTCTACGAACTACACAAACTCATGGAGATTAAACAACACACTCCTGAATGATGAATGGATCAAAGGAGATTTAAGAAATAAACAAAAATATTCCCGGAATTAAACAAAAAGGACAATACAACACAACAAAACCTCTGGGACACTTTACAAGCAGTCCTAAGAGGGAAGTTTATAGCTCTAAATGCCTACATTAAAAAAATCAGAAAGAACACAAGTAAATGACTTAACATTGCAACTTAAGACTCTGGAAAGGCAAGAACAAATGAAACCCAAGCCCAGCAGAAGAAAAGAAATAACAAAATCAGAGCAGAAATTAAAAACAAAGAAAGCCATACAAAGAAACAATGAATCTAAGAGCTGGTTCTTTGAAAGGCTAAACAAGAGAGACAGACACTTAGCCCAGCTAACCAAAAGAAAGAACAAATCCAAATCAACAAAATCAGAGATGAAAGGGGAAACACCACAACGACACCAAAAAGATTCAGAACATTATAAGGGAATACTTTTAAAAATCTATACTCTAGGGGCTGGAGAGATGGCTCACTGGTTAAGAACATCGGTTATTCTTGCAGAACACCTGGGTTCAAATCCCAGCACCCACATGGCAGCTAACAACTGTCCGTGACTCCAGTCCCAGGGGATCCAACAGCCTCTTCTGACCTCTGCAGGCATTGCGTGACATGGGTGCACTTACCTACATGCAGATAATACACACATAAACATTAAAAAAAAATTTTTTTAAACTATACTAAATTTGAAAACCTAAAAGAAATGGATGGATATCTAAAATCATGGGACCCACCAAAGTTAAACCAAGAAGAGATCAACAGTTTTAACAGACCTATAACATATAAGGAAATCGAAACAGTAAACTTCTTAACTAAAAAAAGTCCAGGCCCAGATGGATTTACAGCAGAATTCTACCAGACATTTAAAGAAGGCCTCCAATCAATACTACTTAAATTATTCAAAGTGATAGAAAACAGAGGGAGAACTCCAAAATTCCTTCTATGAAGCCAGTACCACTCTACTATCAAAACCAGTAAAGACACAACCAAAAGAGAAAACTGTAGACCCATATCCTTAATGAACAGATGCAAAAATTCTCAACAAAATATTTATAAACCACATGCAGACACACATCAAAAAGATCATTCACCACAAGCAAGTAGGCTTTATTCCAGAGATGCAGGGATGGTTCAATACACACAAGTCAACAAACGTCATAAATCATATAAATGGACTCAAAGGCAAAAACCACATAATCATCTCAATAGATGCAGAAAAGGCCTTCAACAAAATTCAGTATGCATTCATGATAAAAGTCCTAGAGGGAACTGGACTGGAGGGAACGTACCTCAACATAATTAAAGCCATATATAACAAACCCACAGCCAACATCATTCTAAGTGGAAAAAAACAAAACAAAACAAGACTGGAAGCATTCCCAGTAAAATCAGGAGCCAGACAAGGCTGTCCACTGTCTCCACTTCTTTTCAATATGGTGCTTGAAACTCTTGCTAGAGCAATAAGACAGGAGAAGGAAATTAAAGGAGAACTAATTGGAAAAGAAGAGGTCAAATTATCCCTTTTGCAGATGATATGATACCATCCCTAAGAAATGCCAAAAATTCCCACCAGAAAACTCCTAGAACTGATGGAAACTTTCAATAAAGTGGCAGGTTACAAAATTAATTTACAAAAAAGTCAGTAGCCTTTCTATATACCAATAACAAGCAACTGGAGAAAGAGTAGAGGGAAGCCCTCCCATTCACAATGGCCTCAAATAAATAAATAAATAAATAATAAATAAATAAATTAATTAATTAAATATCTTGGACTAAACCTGACCAAAGACATCAAAGATCTCTACATAGCTTTGGAGAGCACTATGCAAGCTGCTGAGGGAGAACATCGATTGATGGTCCAACCCCAGGTTCAAGGCCTAAAAACCACATCTATGACCAATACAGTGGTGCAACAGTGGTACTTTTATCTACCTAAATTGGACTTAAAGCCCACTCAGTGGGAAGAAACTCGTGTGGTACTGTAAACCTAGCCAAATACACATGATTGGAGAGATTAACAGATTTTTAGAAAAACTCAAAGGCTGTCATATCCCTAGACAAATATATTATGGATCCTTAAATTTGTAGACAAGTATCCCAGTCACCACCCAGCAAAGAAGCTTCTTTATCAAGAGACAGAGATAGCTACAGAGTTCCACCACTGGTCACACACAGAGACTGTCTAGGAATTGCCCAAGCCTAAGTGGCACAATCTAGGATGCCACCTCCACACCTAAGGCTCACAGAACATACAACAGGGATGAAGAGAACACGAATGCATCTTTCAACCCTCATCAGTGAAGCTCCTTCACGCAACAGAGGGCTAGGAACGCAAAAGGTCACAAATGGCCAAACACAGAGAGTAAAGAGTCTGCAGAGTGTGGGTCCTTGGACAGGACTCCTATACTGAGGTCCACCCACCTAGGGCTCAAGGATCATTGCAGAAGAGGGAGTGGAATGATTCTAAGAGCCAAGGAGGAGGTGCATGAACATACAGAAATAGTCCTACCAGTTCCTGGTACCTTTATCATACAAACCTACAGCAATGGTGTCAGCACACACAAGACCCATGCAAACTTAAGCAGACAAAAAACCCAGCACAGACCTGTGGAAATGAATAGCAAGCCCCAATCCTAGTCAAAGAATTATTGGCAGCTGATTACTGCTGGGTGAGGCAGACCTGATCTTCTTAAAGGGAGGGACTCTAGATAGGCTAACTAAATCCCAGTGGATGAACTTGCACTAAGGGACATCTGGGGACACTAACTTTACATGACAGGCCTTAACACAAATGATACAATGTATGAACTCCAGTGGGGGCTATGGGAGGGCACCAAAGGGGAAGGAGGCATAAAGGTGATTTTATGTATGAAATACACAAAACTTCAATACAATACTAAAATAAAAAGTACTGGATTACCTCAACAAGCAGGGCCGCTGTCAGGCAAGGTCACACTCACTGTAGCTTTCCCCCTCCTGTTGGTCACGTGCCCATTATGGGGCTGGATCTAGGTCTGCAAGTGCTAGTCAAGCTCCGTTCAGCAGTATCTTTTCAACTTTTCAGAAAATCTAATAGAGAGCAACTTCCTTAACGTACATGCTGATAAGCAGTTTAGGCGGCTCTGTCTCACTATTAAATCCGCCCCTGACAATGCTCTCTCCTGTTTAGTTCGACAGTTCTGACTTCAGTGCCATCTGCTTTAAGGATCTAGCTTCTCTTCCATGGGGCAACAACTCCAACACCTGTGACCGTATCTGTGCCCTCCTGCTCAGGTAGGCCAGTCCCACCACCTCATGCTCCTCTCCTCACAGCTTGGCTACCTGGTTTTGGACATGTTCAAGTTCATCCCCAACAGCCTTGAAATGTGACCAGAAGCAATGGCACTTTCTGGCAGCAAGCCCCCATTTGAAGGGTTAATCTTGGAACAGGGACTGCCTCCTAAAGTCTCCTCATGGGGCTACTGGGTCCACAAAGGTCCAGAACACTCACCGAGTGATCTGCTGCAGCAGCTTGTCCAAACCTGTCCTCAAGGCAGCAGAACTCCAGAGGCAAGCTGCTGGCTGCATGGCCCAGGTACGGTTGCCCCACCCAGCTTAGGTCCATGACCTCCCAGGTTTCCACTCAGGCTTAGGGGTAGGATTGAGGAATAGGAGAAGGGATTCCAGGAAGAAATTCCCACAAGAAACAATTCTCCACATAACCACCAGCCTCCTGAAATTGAGGACGGGAACGGAAACTTCACAGCAAAGACATTTCCTCCAGCTGCCACAGCACAGCCTCAAGAAATGCACAGCGGGCTGGAGAGATGGTTCAGCAGTTATGAGCCCTGGCTGCTCTTGCGGAGGACCCAGGTTCAGTTCCCAACACCCACGTGATGGCTAACGACTATCTATAACCCCAGTTCTACTGGGTCCAATTCCCTTTTCTGCCCTCCAAGGGCACTTACATACAAGTAGGCAAAACACACATAAAATAAAAATAAGGGCTGGAGAGATGGTTCAGCAGTTAAGAGCACTGACTGTTCTTGCAGAGGACTGAGGTTCAGTTCCCAGCACCCACATGGTAGCTAACAACCATCCTTAACTCCAGTTCCAAGGGACCTCTCTTCTGACATCTACAGGGATTGCCCAACATGGGTGCACTTACATACATGTAGACAATACACTCATACGTATAAAAGAAAAATAACTAAAATATTTCTCAAAAAATAAGCAGAGGAAGCTCAACCAACACTAGTCTGGGAAACAGGACCACAATGGGCTCCTGGTAAACACTGAAGGAACCACAGGTCAGGGACCTCTCTGACTGAACCAGGTGTCTACGGCACAAGGATGGACCAAAGGTGGACTCTGTGTCCAGTCTGCACCCCTACTTAAAGAGTATTTTTTCTTTTTTCATTACTGGGGATTAAGCTAGAGCTTCCCACGTGCAACCTTGGTCTCCATCAGGCCCTTTCTGTATGGTGAGGCACAGAGCTGCTGTGTAGCCCAGGCTCACAATCCTCCTGCCTCAGTCTCCCAGGTTGCTGGGGTCATAGGCATGTGTCATTATGCTCAGCCAAAGTAATATTTTAAAATATAAACAAGCGGGATTTCCTAACCCTGCCACAGTTTAAACAGAGCCACCCTGGTGCTGCAATGTGGCTGAGAGGTAGCATTCTCATCCAGCATGCAACAAACACTGGGTTTGGTCCCCCAGAGCCATTGAAAAATAAATTAAAATGAACAAATAGGCTATCTTTAAAAACAAGCATGTCATTCTAATGGTGTTAAACCAGCTCATGGGCAAAGCGGCCCAAGTCCTCTACCTGCTGATTCCGGGTGGGGTACTTCTGAATGTTCGCTCTGAAGAAAGGGTACTTCTCATAGGTGTAATCATACATCCATTCACAGAAGTGGTTCCCAATGTCGAATCCCCTGAAAGAGAGGACAGTGCAGGAAGGACGTGAAACACTGCAGTCCTGCAGACTCCATGAGTAGAGGAGAGAGCTGAATGACCCCCGAGTGGGGTCTCTGGTCCCCAGCTGTGCTTCACTGTGCATGGACAATGGCATGGCAGCTTAAATGACAAGTAGCCAACAGTATGCACCAGACACGTGAGGCCACAAAGGCACCACATGAGTGCTACCAGGGTGCTCAGCACAGCAATGCCCGGGTCTGTGCTGTGACAGGATAACTGCTGTGGCATCCCAGGGGAAGAGGCCACAGCTCACAAATGCCTGCTGCTCCGGCCAAGTGGAAGTCCAGGGTCAAAGCCCATGCTGAGCCGCTGCCAGGCAAACACCTTCCTTTCTGGTGGGAAGGCTTTCCCCTCAGCATGAAGTTTTGGATCACAATAATCAAACAATTCTCAAAGAACATACTGACATATTACCTGTAATTGTAACTGCTGTATTCAAAGTCAATGAGCATCAGCTTCTGCTTTTCTGAATTCTCTTGGCCTTCCAGCAGTAAGATATTACCTGTGGAAGGTGTGGACAAAAAGACATTTTACAACAGAAAGCTCAAAGCCTAGGGCAGCAGTGCACAGTGGTTCTGATCCCATGGGGATTCCTGATGACATCAGCTGTGGTCCCACAGACATCATAGGGGCAGACAGAGTGCAAATGCGCTGTCACGGGGGCTTGGCTGCAGGCAGGGAGGCTCCAGATCCTCCTCTCTGGGCCCTGGTCACCAGGCACTCTGCTTTCTATGAAACCTGACCTTCACACTGTTGTCAGGAGCAGTACTTAACAAATGTGTGCTGTGTGTTAGAGCTCGGCTGCCCTCCTCAACCTCACCTCTGGGAGCCCTGGGACTAGACTGCTGGCATCAGTTGGCTTGGGCACTCCAGCTACATGGCCCCAGCTGCTTTGTCCCTGCCCATTGTTCCCTCCCAAGGAGACCACAGACAGTAGCTCTATGATGTTTCTTCCAGGGCTGAATCTCGGCAAATGACTGGCTGCCAGCCTGGCTCTGCCTGCTCATGTTCCCTACACCTCCACTCAAATGGACTCGGCAGCTCGGCACTGTGCAGCACAAGTGGGTACTGGGCCCCGCCCCTTGCCAACTCTGGTCACTCCCCCTTCCAGGCAGGAGTGAAGTCTCTAGGCCTTGCAGCATGCTTGTCGCATTCAACACCTGCCAGAATGAGAACAGGCAGACACCCCAAGTGGCAGAACACAGTAAATGAGCTGCCGTCTCCACTCGCCCTCTGCACTTCTGTGGCACTAGGCAGCTGACCTGGGTGCCCATGCACCTCACCACCCTCACCACGAGAAGATGTGGCTAACACCCAAAGTGGCTGCTGAAACTTCTGCACCCTGCTCTACCCCACTACTTAGCCAGCAAAGATCAACTAATGGCTTGTTGAAGAGGGGTCATCCCGGGAGACTTCTGGAACTAAAGAACTGCGGAAGCAAGACTGCCTAAGCTCAAGATTTGGGGCCAGCCAGGGCAACAAGGCAAGACTTGACCCGGAAAACAGAACAAGGCTGCTGCATCGTAAGAGCAGCCCGTGTGACAGGGAACAGCAAAGCGGGGCTGGCAGCTGGGCACACTCCTAAAATCAAGTTGAACCCACAAAGGCAAAGTTCTCCCATGGTAGTGCATATTTCACAGCAGTTTTTAAGCGGAGCAGTCTGAAGTCACCAACAGTGTGCATGGTCATTTTTATGGGAAGGTGGTTTGACAAGCTAATGAGCAGCCCAGTGCAGCAGGGCCCATGTGATCCTGGTCTTTCCTTCTTCTGCAGGTTAAAGTCATAAACATCCCAAGGAATTCAATACCAACAGGCACATGTGACCAAGGAAAGTCCTTTGTTCCAACTCCCCATTTAATGCTATCCTTTCAGACATTGCTTTCATATATATATATATATATAAATATATTTTATGTGTATGAGTGTTTTGCCTGCATGTATATATGTGTAAGTGCACCACATGCATGCAAACCCACCAGAAGAGTTCATGTGCATATTTTAAATATGAATGGATTAAACTCTATTATTGTTCAGGAACTTGCCTTTGTCTCTCAATATATCCCAGAGACTTCTCTGTTGGAATCCTTTCACAGCTGCACTCTACTATCTGGCTGCATCTTGCCCTAATGTGCCCCACACACTTGGACAGCCATCTGGCCTGCTCCGCACAAGCCATGGCAATGCTTACCTTCTTGACAGTCGTTATGACAAAATACAACAGGAGACTGCGTGTACTGCAGCAGCGACCTGAAAAAGAAGGTCTCATCATCACCTACCAAATCCAGGAAGACCAAACATGCTGTGTGGCCAGCAAAGACCAGTGTTCCAATGCAACACAGTCCCCAAGTAACCCTTGTCATTCGCATTCTGAAAACCATGTGGTATCATGTGGCTATGCCAGGAGCCTACTCAGTTGCCTGCACCACACTGCAGCACTGCAGGACCACTTGTGCCGGGGCTCTCCAGAGCAGTGCTCTCCTCTTGTAAGCACCCTCTTCCCCTGCTGGCCCTGGCTTGCACAGTCCCTCCACACAAGCCTGACCACTGATGGCCCAAAGCAGATGCCCTGTAGTGGTTTCCTTCACAGAACTTACCAGAACAGGGCATTATTTTAATTGCTCACTTGCTTTATGGTCCAATAAATTAAGAACTCCTTAAAGGTCTTGGTGCCCATTCCCTCAGCATCAGTCAGACCACACAGTACAGCAGATACTAGGCACCTGTGAAGCCGACGACAGGAGTATTTGTCTGGGCATGTATACAGATGCATGTATCCAGCCTCACGACAGGACACAGGGGTGGCTTCCACTGGGAAATCAGTCTCATGTCCCCTGTGCTTAGGGTTAGCCTATCACCTTCAGGGCCTACTACTTCACCTCTCAATGTCCTGCCTTAGGCAAAAAACCCACTCTGCTAAGAATCTACTTCTGGAGCTGGAGAGATGGCTCAGTTGTTAAAAGAGCCCACTGCTCTCAGAAAGGATAGGAGTTCAGTTCCCAGCACCCATACCAGGCAGCTCACAACCATCTGTAACTCCAGTTGGGGGGATCCAATGCCTCTGGCTTTCATAGGCATCTGTGCTCAGACACACATACACACACTTATACCCACACGTACACGTAAGTAAAAATAATACAAGTAAATCTTTTAAAAAATCATACCAGGGGCTAGAGAGATGGCACAGCAGTTAAGAGCACTGACTGCTCTTGCAGAGGACCCAGGTTCATTTCCCAGCACCCAAATGGCGGCTATGCACTGTCCTTAACTCCAGTTCCAGGGGAATCTGAAGCCCTCTTCTGGCCTCCATGGCACTGCATGATACAGGTGTACTCACATACATGCAGGCAATACACTCATACACATCTGGGGCTACAGGGAGACCTTGGCTCAAAAAGGCAAAAAATAAAAATAAAAAATTAAAAATTAAAAAAAAAAATCATATCAGATGACTAAATTCCAGGATCAACTCCTCCTGTTCACTAGTACTTACTACCAAAAAGACTTCCTCTGTGGATGAGGAGCTCACCACATCAGAGGACAGAGCAAAGGCAATACTCACCTCAGGTTCTCAAGCTCCAGAGGCAGGTTGTATGCAAGGAACTTGTGCAGCTGCTGAACTCTGGCCTCCCCAGTGAATCTAATTCTCAGCACTTGATTCAGGTATCTGTTACAGGCGAGGAAAAAACCAGTGCAAGCTAAGCAGGCATATTCTCAGGCCTCACTAAGTACCCAACTTCAGCCAGTCCCAGCCCCGAGGGAGCCCTATGGTCTCTGGGAAAGAGGGAGGGGTGGCTGGACCCACTGTTTGGGGGAGCTGGCTTTCCACCCACCCACCTGATAGCATTTTTGCAAACAAGTCTTCTTTCTTGGTCCAGGAATTGATTGCTTCATGCAAGAAAGACTTACTCATGAGACACACATCACAAGTGATGGCCTGCGCACTGGTGAACCAAAGACCTCTGACCATCCTGGCAAACAAGTGCCCACTTCTGTTACTGCCAGAGCTACCAGTGTAAAAGGGATGAGGACCAAGTGATGGGACCACTTACTTTTCCATTGTTCCAAAAAGCCATTTTGGTTCCTTATTGAATGGCATTTTCATACCATGAAACGTGGCCATCTTCTCAGCTATTTCTGCAGAAATGTCTGGTAAACGCAATTCCTCAGTCTCCAGTCGCCGACTCTGGAACGGAAAAGAGAGTCAGGAACTGCTATTCACCCACAGGACCCAACACGTGTTGAGACCACACCTCCTTAAGAACCAGGAATCAGTCTGGTAAGGCACTGAAGCCTCGCCCAGTGCACAAAGCTCCCGTAAGAGTTCTCACGCACCCACAGTCACAGCCTGTCTCAGCACCTCCTTCGCTCCCATCAGCTAGACACCCTGCACTGCTCCTGACAGGGAAGCCCTGATCCAGGAGGGCTGCCAGCTGCTCTTGCTGAGTCCTTAGCACCTGGCCTGACACCAGCAGCCTTCAGAGGATCTCAACGCCCAGAGGACAAACCCCAGTCTTTGGACACAGTGCTGTCCCCAGTGGAGCTAAGGCCAGGCTCATCATGACAGCTCTCACATAAGGGTGCTCAAGGGCCTACGGTTTATGAAAATCTTTCAGCTTCTCCACACAAACCGTACCCCTGCAAGACTCAAGGTGAGGTCTCTCCGAGGAGGGACTGCTACCCAGTTAGAGAAATCCTGCTAAAATTCTGGCTTCAAAGACACATGGCCTAGGCCTGAGGCTTCATTCCTCAGTGCCTTGTTTCCTGTTGTACAGAACAGGAATGCCAGTCAAGTCTCTCACAGAGCTGCATCTAGAGCAGAAGAGATGGTGCACCTACCCTAGGGTAAACCTCAGCAAGTGGAGGCATACCACATTTAGAGCTAAGAGCGACATACACATGGAGCTCAGTCTCCTGGTCAACTCTGGAACCCTCTCCACAGCCTTCTCAGTAGGCCATCACGCTGTGACAAGGACAAGAAACCAGTCTCCACTCCAGACACTCAGGACTTCTGTGGGCAGCTCACTTTGCATTCAAAACTACTGGGGCCAGCCAGGTGTGGTGGCACACGCCTTTAATCCCAGCACTCGGAAGGCAGAGGCAGGTGGATCTCTGTGAGTTCTGGTCTACATAGTTGAGTTCTAGGACAGATGGGGCTACAGTGAGACTGTCTCAAAAAGACCAAAAAAAAAAACTACTGGGGCTGGAGAGATGGTTCAGCGGTTAAGAGCACTAACTGTTCTTGCAGACGACCTGGGTTTGAATTCCAGCACCCACATGGCAACGAACAACTGTCCATAACTCCAGTCCCAGGGGATCCAACAGCCTCTTCTGACCTCCAAGGGCATTGCACACGGACATACTTATCTACATGCAGGCAATACATGCATACACATAAATAAAATTTAAAAAATGATATGTGGTATGAATGTTTTACCTACATGTATGCAAGTGCACCACATGCCTACAATGCCTGCAGGGGCCAGAAGAGGGCCCTGGAACAGGAGCTATGGATGGTTGTTAGTTACCATGTGGGTGCTGGAAACTGAACTCAGGTTCTCTGCAAGGGCAGCAACTTAACTGCTGAGTCATCTCTCCAGCCCCATAAAATAAAGCTTAAAAAAGGAAAGACAAGGGACTGGAGAGTTGGCTCAGCAATTAAGAACACTGGCTGCTCTTGCAGAAGACCCGGGTTCAAATCCCAGCATCCACATGGCAGCTAACAACTGTCTGTAACTTTAGTTCCAGGGGATCTGACATGTCCTCCATGAGCATTGCATGACATGGGTGCACTTACCTACATGCAAGCAATACATGCATACATATTAAAAAAAAAAAAAGTGAAAGATAAAAAGAAAGCTACCGTCTCATACTGCCTAACAAAAGGAAGGTACTCCCTGTGCTGGATGCTTTAGTGTTAACTGGACACACCTGGGCTGAGGGAGCCTCAACTGGGGAATTGCCTCCATAGGACTGGCCTGTGGCCATGTCTGTGGGGCATCTTCTTGATTGCTGAGTGATGTGGGAGGGCCCAGCCCACTGTGGGTGGTGCCACCCCTGGGCAGGTGGGCCTGTGTTTCATAAGAAAGCAGGCTGAGGGACTGGAGAGATGGCACAGCAGTTAAGAGCACTGACTGCTCTTGCAGAGGACCGGGGTTTGATTCCCAGCACCCACATGGTGGCTACACACTGTCCTTAACTCTGGTTCCAGGGGAATCCGAAACCCTCTTCTGACCTCCATAGCGCTGCACATGACATGGGTGCACTCACATACATACAGGCAATACACTCATGTACATAAAATAAACATAATAAATAAAATATTAAAAAGAAAAAGTAGGCTAAGCAGGGGCCAGGGGAGCAAGCTGATGAGCAGCATTCCTCCATGGCCTGTGCTCCAGCTCCTGCCTCCAGGTTCCTGCCCTGAGTTCCTACCTTGGGCTCCCTGATGAACTGTGACCCAGGAGATGTAAGACAAATAAATCCTTTCCTTCCCAAGTTGGTAGTGATCAATGTTTTGCCAGAGCAATGGAGAAACAAACTAGAATACTCCCAGAAGTGTGTCCTTAGGCAATTTCAAATCTACAGCATACCTAACAAAGCTAGCTGGTCTAGCCTATCTCACACTATGCGGTTTAGTAACACAATAGCACAAGATCAAATCAAGCACAAGAGAACTGATGCAAAAAGTGGGGGGGGGGGCGCACACATGGCTCTCATATGCAGCTGCAGCCAGAAGGACACCTAGCGCAAGTACACTATTACAGAAAACTTTTTTCACTTTTGCTTGTGTCTGATTCAGAGTCTTACTCTGACTGGATCCTCTTGCCTCAGCCTACTAGGATTACAGATGTGAGTCACCATGTCTGGCTTAACCATTTTTCCTTTTTTTTTTGAGAAAGGGTCTCACTATGTAGCTCTGGCTGGTCTGGAACTTGCTATGTAGACCAGACTGGCCTAGAGCTCAAAAGATGCCTCTGCCTCTGCCTCCACACAGTTTTGTCCATTTATGCCCCAGTTTAACAACACAGGTCCTATCTATTATCTCCAGTGACAGCACTCAGGTTCTTGTCACAAGGCAAGAAACTCATCTTCTGCCTGGCTATGGCTCATGGTTCATATACTAATCTTACCGGGATAAACTGCTCCAGTCGGCCTTGGGGAAAGATGCCATAGAGTTTTGGCCCAAGAGACCTCTCGGCGAGAATGGCGAACATGACACTCTCCAGAACCATCGCCTCGGGTCCCTAGAACAGACAGCAACAAGCCAGGTGTTACTGAGCATCTTCCTGGGCACGGCTGAGATGTGTGTTTTCAGGAGCAGGTTCTTCCAGGCCTTGCTGTCACTGTGGCGTGGGCACTGCAACTATCACCCCTCGTAAAGACAGGAACAAGACTGCGGCTCTGAAGTCACACAACTGCAGGGTTCAGCTCATAAGCATTACACTATGTGGATGACAGACACTTGAACTCAATATAAGTCCCTTTTCCCTCCAAGGAAAGTTAAAAAGACAAAGCTTTGTAACCTGACACATTAATATTCTGTAGGAAAAATTTTAAGATAAAGAACGTGGATACCTTACTGAAAGTTGTGGTAATAGGATCTGACCTGCACACTGTTTTTTTTGAGATGGGGTCTCAGGTAGCTCAGGCAGGCCTTGAACTCCCTATGCAGCTGAAGGACACTTTGAACTTCTGCTCTTCTTGCCTTTCTGCCTCTGCTGGGACTACAGGACCGTGTCAGCACGTCCAGTTTATTCGGTGCTAGGGATCCAATCCAGCACTTCTTGGATGCTAAGCCAAAACTCTATCAACTGAGCTACATCTCCACTACTTGCACGCAATTCTAAATGACTATGGTTTTTTTTATGCTGTTGCTCTAGCCGTATCTTCTTAGACAGATGGGTTATCTAGTGAACACCAGCTGACGCTAGTCACTTTCCATGTCTAATGATGCTCTCCAAAGCAACTCACTTGCCCAAAGTTACAAACTGGCTTAGTTTGAGGCCTCTGCTTTACCGCAGCTGCTTGTTCTGTCCCTAAATGGACAGGTCTCACCAAAGACACTCCTACCCAGCCTGCTGGGGGTGACCTGCACATTCACTGAGCCCCTAGTGAGCTTATGTACTCCAGAGCCTGCCTGCTGCCTCCAGATTCCCATTTAAGTCTGTCTCTGCCTAAAATCTCTGTGAGGCTCCTATGCTCTGTCTTTAGTCCTAACAACCTATAGATCTACACTCATTATGTCTTCAAATCTGTCCCTTGGTCCTAGTTCAAATTTATTCCTCAGTCTTTCCCAGAACAGCAACTTAGGGTGTATGAGTCTTCATCTTTAAGGTGAAGGAGAGGGGCCCGTGATCTTAGAGAGCTTCACTAATGGGTATTCTTAGGTCTTAGGCCTTAGTCCTGGCTTCTATTTTAACTTTTAAAAACTTTTCATTTTTTATGTGCAAGTACATGCATTTCGCCCCAGAGCATGTGTGGAGCTCAGGGGACAACTCTTGGGATCTACCCGGGATCAAACTCAGATCTCCAGGCCTGCGTACAAACACCTGTACCTGCTGAGCACCTCGCTGGTCCCTACCCCTGCTTTCCAAGTCAGTAAGTATGTTTAAGAAAACGCACCAAAAGGTATGTCACTAGTTCCAAAAACACAATTTTCCTCTTCATCCTAGCTTTCAGGTGACTCTAAATCACCCTTTGTCAAGAAATGTGCTGTGGGGGAACATAACCCCAGAGAACAGGCTTACATTGTTACTGAAGTCAGCAACAAGAGCGAAGTCATTAGACAACAGAATGCTACAATTAATAATGTGTACTTGTACCACAAGAAAGAAGAAAACTTGCTCCCAAGTCTGCTGGACCACATAAAAGAAAGAGATGGTCCAGTCACTTCCACGGTTTTTGGGAACAAGTATTTTTTTTTTTTTTTTATTTTGAGACAGGGTCTCCCTGTAGCCCCAGCTGGCCTGGCACTCGCTATGCAGATCAGACTGGCCTTGAACTCATGGAGATCCGCCTGTCTCTGCCTCCCAAGTGCTGGGACTAAAGGCATGCGCCACCACGTCCAGCGGGGACAAGTATTTGTAATACCCACAATTACAGTCTATTGTCGTGGGTAATCCCTACAATTAAGGTCTAATTATAACCTTGTAAGGCTCCATCCATCTTTATTTACTACTTGCAGATGTATTTGACAATATAGATTTCCTGTTAATTTAATCAGTCTACAACTGGCTATCAGATTTCTCTTTTGACAATACCCAATCCCTCTGGTTAGCAGGTGAAACGTTTTCATTGCTCATCTGACCCTCATGACACATTGGCTTACAAGGACAGTCACTGCAGCCCTGTCTGACCTGAAGGCCGACACTGCAGAGACTCGGGGGGGGGGGGCTCAAGTGAAGGCCCTCAAGGCGTCCTCTGCTGCAGTCCTCTCCCCTGTGGGTTCAAGCAGTCTCCTCAGCGCCTCCTGCAGTGGTAACTGCAAAAGCAAGCAGAGCCTGACCATTGCAAGACAGGAGGGTCCTGGCCTCAGCTCCTAGGTGAGGTTCTTTATGGCTGTGTGCCATCTGAGAGTCTCCCCAAATTCCACCTTACTATGTATAGTTATCATTTCTGAGCTGCTTCCGTCTAAGAATCTAGAACTGTTAGGATTAAAATTTGCGGGTTTTGTTTGTTTAAGACAGGGCACCAGTAGCCCCAGCTACCTTGTAATTTTCTATGTAACCAGGTTGGCCTTGATCTCAGAGATTTGCTTGCCCCTGCCTCCCGAGTGGTAGGACTAAAGACATGGGCCACCTTGCCTGACCCTAAAATGTTTTGCAACTTTCCACATGGCCACACTGCAGTGACTAAAATGAGGAGCCTGAGGGCTGAGCTGTACACAGCACAACGTGTCCATCCCAATTATTCCCTTTGAAGCTTGAATCTAAGTTTTTTTACTTTTTGTCAGGGTTGGCCTTGAACTCAATATGTACCTGAGGATGACCTTGAACTTCTGATCTTCCTTCCTCTACTTCTTCAATGCTGGGATTAAACATGTACTACCACACCTGGTTTTATATGGTGCTGGGGATGAAAACCAGGGCTTTATGCATGCTAGGTAAGCATTCTGTCAACTTTTTTGTTTTTTTTAAACACTTATTGTATGTGTGTGTCTATGTACATGCCATGGTGTAAGTGTGGGAGTCAGAGGACAACTTTCAGGAGTCAGTTTTTTCCTTCCACTATGAGGGTCCTGGGGATTGAACTCGGACCTGTAAGGTTTGGCAGCAAGCACCTTACCCACTAAGTCGTCTCACTGTTCTTTATTTGGGTGGTTTTTGAGACGAGGTCTTGCTATATGTAGTTCAGGCTTGTCTTAAACTCCCAAACTCCAGCTTCAGTTTTCCTAGTACTGGGATTACAATGCACTACATCATCTGGACTAGGGGCTGGATATAATCAAGACACATTGTATACATGTATGAAAATTTCAAACAATCAAAAACAATTTTTTAAGGGGTTAGAGAAAGGCTCAGCAGTAAACTGGGTGTGGTGGCATATACCTTTAATCCCAGCACTTGGGAGGCAGAGGCAGGTAGATCTCTGTGAGTGTGAGTTTGAGGCCAGCCTGGTCTACATAGTGAGTTCCAGGTCAGGTGGGACTACAGGGAGACCCTGTCTCCAAACAAACAAACAAAAAAAACATTTCCAGGGGATCTGATGCTCTCTTTTGACCTCTGCAAGCACCAGGCATGCATGTGGTGCACTTACATACATGTAGGCAAAACACTTAAAAAGAATGGCATTTACACAGCAACACACACAATCAAACATCACACAGACCAACTCTCCCGGATGACTGCAGGATGCTTCCTGACACTGTGTACTCCCTTTCGTTTAAAAAGCAAGCTGGGTGCCGTAGTGCACACCTGTAGTCCCTGCTGCAAGGGGAAAGTCTAGGCAACACATTCAAACTTCGTCTCCCTCCCCTAAAAGCAAAAGTCCTAACACTTCATACAACCTACCAATAAACAACTGATTGAAATGTCAGCAGTGAAAGGAAGAGAACAGGGGCAGGGAGGGGCGAGCCTGCCTTTGTAGAGGAAGGAGCTGCACACTGTCAGCAGTTATGATGGTCAAACAGAAAGAAGGAGAGTGACCTGTGGATTTGGCAACTGGGATGTTGCTGGTGACATAAACAAGAGCTTCAGAGGAGCGACAGGCAGGAATTAGATGGGGAGGATGAAGAAGAGGCAGATGAGGATGGTGGGGGATCTGGAGGTGGCCAGTCAGCAAAGTGTTTGCCACGTAGGCATGGTGGCGTGCACTTCAATCCCGATGCTGGGGAGTGGAGCAGCAGAGCCCCGGGACTCACCAGCCAGCCTAGTTGGTGAGGCCGGCATCCCAGCAAGAGATAATGCCTCCAAAAGTAAACGGATGGCTCCTGAGGAACAACACTCAGCTGACCTCTGGCCTCAACACACACACATTGAAGTCTTACAGAACAAACTTCAAGAGCAGCAGAGCTGGGGCGGTGCTGCCTATAGTCCCAGCAGACTTGACAGCCTTTAAGAAGTGAAACTGAAATCAAGCAGTATTACAAAAGAAGCTAGCAACTCCGTGTGACAGGGAGGATTTATTATCACTGTTTGCACTTTTCTGTGCTTTCATGAGTTTTTTCCCCCTCAAAATGAGGACTAAGAGGCTGGGGAGTAGCTCAGGGCTAGAACCCTTACCTAGGATGCTCAAGGTCCTGGGTTCCGTCCACAGCATCACAAATAAAGTTGCATCTGACTGCAATGTGGCTGAAAACGCCTAGGAAGCCCAGCCCTACTTCCTAGGAAGGAAAGGGAGGGAAGGAGAAAGATAAAAAACAAACCTAATCACGAACAGGATCGGCGGTTGCATGGAGATGGAAAGGGCACCAGCAGAGCACCCCAGTCCCTGGAGAAGGACAGGGGACAATGACAACAAGCTGAGAAGTTAAACCTGAGGAAGAAGGAAGAGTTGGCATGCTGAACACAAAAGATGCCACACAGGGCTTGCAGGAGAAGCCTGACCAGGATGCCCAGCTACCAAAGAATGGGCTGAGCACTGCATGCCATGGAGGACAGGACGAGGGAGGCTAGAAGAGAAATAGGACACCTAAAACAGACCTTGGAGTCAGAAGCCAAAACTAGGGGTGAAGCTCAGCAGGCTGCCAGACAGCAAGTACCAGAGGTGGAGCCCCATGCCCTAAGGGGAAACCAGCTCTCTCCCAACTCCCAATCACTGTGTGATTCTCTATCAGGACTCTGCAGTTCAAGGGCAGGGGTGCAGTGCAGTGCAGGCAAGCATGGAGGTCCCTGGTTCAGCAGGGCAGAGGTCACAAAGTGGGCAGAGATGAGTGGAGGAAAGAGCTGAGGATGACATGCATGTGGAGGTCAGAGGAAACTTGGGCTCGGTCCTCGCCTTCAACTATGTGGGTTCTTGATGACAACACTGAGCCACCTCACCAGGAGGGGTGGTGTGGGAGTAAAGGAACTCAATGAGGAACAGAAAGCAACTCTTCTATACTCTGACTGATTGCTGCACTCAGACCCCAAGGATCATGGGCTAAGTCAGATTCCCAGTAGAACAAGTCCTGAGGAGGAAGGAGGTACAGCTGTGACTTGTCTATCTTTGAGAGGAGGGCACTGGAGACCCAAGGGAGGAATGAACAAGAACTTGGGTCCCAGCAGGCAGACCAGGGCATCACTGGGACATGGGGCCTGCTGCTAGGTGGCTACTGCAGCCACAACACGATGGGGGAAGCCACAAGCACCCACTCCCAGTTCACCCTACAGGGCAGCCAGCTGGCTAGGTCCCATCGGCAACCTTGTGCACATGAGCACCTCTTACCCCTAAGCCTGTACGTGCAGGTGTGCACTCAAAAGGTGTGTACTCCCAGTGTGTTCCTGCCCAGGTTCTCTACTCCACCCTTCATGCCCAGAGTCTCCGGCCCTCCGTGTATATGCGCTCAGCACAGTCTACTCTGGCTACTTCCAAATCCAGGAGGAAGCCTTTCCAGCCTGGATACCAGGCCTGTGACTTTCCCAGGGAAGAGTGGCCAGTGAAACAAGCAGGCAGTGACCTGTGGGAAGGAAGACCTATCTGATGACGGTGTGGAAGTCAGACACGGTGAGACAATGCAGCAGGAGCCAGGAACCTCCACACTGCGGTATCAGAAATATTATCTATACCTGCATCTCCAGCACCCAAACACTGCTCAGAGACCACCACCACAGACAACTTGACTCTCTACCCTCCAGGAAGCTCCTTGTGGGCTGAGTCTCGTGAGCTGGCTCCGACTGGCCCAGAGTCCTCCTTCTGAGCAAGATCAGGGATTTCCAAGGACAGAGACAAGGCCCGCCAAACTGCAGTATATCAAGGCTGGCCACCACCAGGTTACAGCTCATGCAAATGCAGAACATACTCAATTACTTACTTGAAATTCATTTTCATTCTGAGCTTGTTCGGATCCCTCTTTATTACAGGACCTCTACGAAGGAGAAAAAGCAAACACTTGCGGTGAGATGCTCACTGCAGCCACCAGAACAGTCAGGTTCACAAGCCAGCACAGATCTTTAAACAAGGGCTTCTCTGCCCCCACATGACGGGCACAGTCTAAAGGCACCAGCAGTCTCCAGCACTGGTGTCAATGTCTTAAAAGTGTTTCACCTCTTTACAAGAAAAGGGATGTGCCACTGAGACCAAATACCTGTGCCTCTCATGACTGCCCCCATGTACCTTTAACAATTTCATTGTTAGAGGAAAGTCACTAGAGTGCTGTCTTCCATTTGGCCTTCTAAAGCAAGCACAGGCCGTAGCTCTCACCGAATTAGCTGTGTGGTTCTCTCAAGAAAATCTGCAAAACAGGAGTGTCAACACGCCTGTGGAGGGCTGTGGGCAACAGAGAACATGGCCAGGGAGGAAGCCTGGCGTGGATCCTGCATACTTATCACTTGCCCAGGCTAGCCCTTCTGCTCTGGCCAGTCCTAGTTACACCTGAGCTGTTCCTCCAGCAAAAAAAAAAAAGGACTGTGGATGTAAGGAAGTCCCTCAGATTATCTGACACATTTATACATCATTAAGAGGTACTTCTGCAACACTTTCCTCAATGAAATTGCAAATTACTGGTAACCCAGCTTCTAACAATAACAACATACTGGATCATCCATCGATCAACTGGCATAAGAACACTTGGGAAACAATATTTCTTCCTACAGGTCACATATTTCCAAGCCACCCCCACCCCAAGTGCTTTAAAACCGGCACACTATCTTCACTAAAGGAAGGGAAAAAGTAACATCAGAAACTTAAGGGTTGTGTCAAAATTGTATACTCAACCACTACCTCCAAAATACGTTATGTTACAATTAAAATAAGTCGGCCTGACCAGACCGAAAAGGAATCCTGTAAAGGAAACCTCCTTAAAAGAATTGTAAGGTAACAGAGTCTTGACCATCCCATGAAAAACATACCTTTCCATTCCACAGCTTTATCAAAAATACCTGTACCAAGGGTGGGAAGTGTGGACAGGAAAAAGAAATGCCACGTTAAGCAACACCAGCTACTCTAGCAGCATTCAAACACCTTGTGATTAAATCAACTGCTCTCACCATCATACACCAGAGCAACATTCCAGACATCTTAATGCATGTTTGGTATACATAGCACATGTTTATCCTCTTTATAAAAGTACACAAAATAGACATCCATGCTCATAAGACTATCTGCAAGACTTCTAACACTTGCACTTACACATATTCAATAATAATAATAATAATAGTAATAGTAATAATAATAACATGACACACAGGTAAGTACAGCTCAAAGAGTAAAGTACAAATGGGCCTATGTGATATTTTCATTTGTGTAATCTGTATTTCTCTGATGAAAATCTAGATGTTACAGGTTAAATCCCGCTATAATGAAAGAAACAAAAGTCAAAATGCTTCAGCAACACCTCTAGGCTTTGCTGACAGTGTCAACCTGAGGACTGAGTGAGAGACCAGCTGTCAGAAGCTCTGAAGCTCCTTACACCCAGAGCTCTCTGGTGCTGGCACCGTTGCCATAGATGCTCACCTGGCAGTCTGTCTCAAGTGGGCTACAGGTTCCCTAAGGAATGGGGGGCTCAACTTTCACGGTTAGTGTTGCCCAAAGCACCATGCAAATCCTGATGTTTCTTGCTATGCTCTCTGGCCAATGTGAGCAAGCGAGCATTCTGTGCTGCGCCACACACAGCAAACTTGCTATGGAGTCACCTAGTGTCTGATTAGCTAGGCAAATTCACATCCATGCACCAGAATGGGGCATGGGCCAGGCTACAGTGTTAATCTGGACACTGAACAGGGCTAAAATGCCTCTTTAGAAGTCTTTGTGCTTTCTTCTTCCAAGGAAAGTTAGGAACAAATCAAGTTCTATATACGATAAAATGCATGTTAATACCCTGTAGAAAAATCTTTTAAGACAAATAAGGAATCTAGATATCCTTATTTGAAATCTGTAGCGGGATTTGACCTGTGCACATCCTAAATGACTACAGTTATTCCTATGCTGTTACTGCTCCAACTGTATCTTCTTAGGGAGATACAGTTAACGGGTTATTTAGCTAACAGAAGTCCTTTCCCTATCTAATGGTGCTCTCCAAAGCAAGCTGCTTTGCCCCAAATTACAAACTAGCTTAGTCCCAAGGCCACTGCTTTTTACCACATTAGTAGAACTGGACATGAATTCCATTACTAATTTCCCCACACTCACCTGCTCCACCCTACCCCAAACTAACTCAGGATTTATACCAAAAATAAGAGCACCATCGCAAAGGCAATACGGACTTCTGCAGTCTCCAACCTGTGTTCTGTTTCCTCAGTATAGAATGCCCTGGATCCTTAGAGATTTGAAACAAGGAGAAAGGACAGGTGATCTCAAACCAGGAAGGCAGATAGTCATGAAGGATGAAAGGAAGACACCTCCTCCCAAGGTGAGTGAAGCCAGCTGAGCTCTAGTTCCTGTGAGACAGCCATAAGACAGTCTGTCCAGGAGGACAGGAAGCAAACTAGATTTTGCAATCTGTAGGATTTTACTTTAGGGACACAATTATATCCCAAGTAGGTATTAAAGTACAATGTATATTTAGCATGACTTTATATTTTCCTCCAATAAACTTTCAAATTAAATTATTTTTTAAAGAACCTTAAAATTTGATGTGTATGAGTGTTTTGCTTGCTTGTGTGAATGTATGTATGCATGCATACAGTCTCATATTACTTAACCTCATGCATGCCTGGTGCCCTCAGAGGCCAGAAGAGGCTTTGGATCCCCTGGAACTGGAGTTATAGACTGTTGTAAGCTGGCACAGGGATACTGAGAACCCAACCCAGGCCCTCTGCAAGAGCAGCAGGTGCTCTTAACTGCTGAGCCCTCTCTCCAGTTCCAATAAATTGAACTTAATGTCATTTTTTATCATCATTGTGTATGGTATGTGTGTGCTGGAGATCAGAAGACAACTTTTCAATGTTGGCTCACTCCTCCCATGGTGGCTCCAGGACTGAACTCAAGCCATCAGGCTTACACAGCGAATGCTTCTTCCCACTGAGCCATCTTGGTCCTACTTAATATCTTTATCTATTTATGGTTTGTTTCTGTTTTTGAGACAGGGTCTCCTTGTAGTCCCAGCTAGATTGGAACTCGCTATGTGGACCAGGCTGGCCTCAATCTCAGAGATCCACCAGCCTCTGCAACTGCCTCCCTAGTATTGGGATTTAAAGGCATGTACCACCGTCCCTAGCGCTTATGGTATTTTCTGGGACAGAATCTCTTGCAGCCCAGGGTAGCCTCAAACTCTCTATAAGGCTGAGGATGGACTGTCTCGACTCTCAAGTGCTGGGACTGCAGATGTTTCCACCACACTCAGCTCTGGTTATTTACCAATTAATTATGGGTATCTGATGCCAGGAGTCAAATGCAGAGCCTTGCACACGCTAAGCAACTGCTCTATCACTAAATTCTAATCCTAGTCTTAATTTTTATTTAATTTTATGTATATGCATGTTTTGCTTGCATGTACAGGTGTACCACATGCATGCAATGCCAGCGGAGGTCAAAAGAGGGTATCAGATCCCTTAGAACTGGAGATATAGATGGTTGTTAGCCACCACATAGGTGACGGGAGCTGAACCCAGGTCCTTTGCAAAAGCAGCTAGTGCTCTTAACCACTGAGCCACCTCTCCAGCTCCCTAGTCTTTTTTTTTTCCTCTGATTAAAGGCATGCACCACCATGCCCAGCTAAGATTATAGATTTTTTAAAGTTCCAATTTTTAAAAAAATGATCTGAAGTTTTAAATTTAAATTGATCAAAGTAGAAATTATGTCAGCTGAGATGAGACTAGAGGACTTTCATCTATTTATCTTTTTATCTCCTGTCTGCCTACTATTCAAAAGTTGCTTAAAAGCATATGATGCTTTTAACAACAAACACACTTGGTGCCAGGCTTCAAATGTTATTTTTTCTGACAAAAAACACATTTTAAAGCTTTATATATTTTTTTTCAGCAGCTCCAATGTAGATTAATTAAAGGAAAGTGACGAAGAATTCCTGAGAGTTGAAAGGGTTCCCACTAGGAGTGGCCTGGTTTGGTTTTTTGTTTTATTTTTTTTAAAGCTTTTTTTAAAATTTTTATTTTATGTGTATTGCATGTATTGCCTGCATGTAGGTAAGAGCACCCGTGTCATGCAATGCCCAAGGAGGTCAGAGAGGCTGTCGGATCCCCTAGGACTGGAGCTACAGACAGCTGCCATGTGGGTGCTGGGATTCGAACCCAGGTCTTCTGCAAGAACCACCAGTGTTCTTAACTGCTGAGCCATCTCTCCAGCCCTATTTTTTATTTATTAAGTGTATGATTGTATTGCTTGCATGTAGGTAGGCATACCCATGTTGTGCAGTGCCTGAGGAAGTCAGAAGAGGGCATCGGATCCCTTGGAACTGGAGTTACAGACGGCTGTAAGCAACCATGTGGGTGCTGGGATTCAAACCTGGGTCTTCTGCAAGAGCTAGTGTTAACCACTGAGCCATCTCTCCAGCCCCAAGAATGAAAATCAACGGGTAGTAAGATAATGTTAGAGCACAGAATGAAGAACCATTTGATTAATTTGGTATTATATAGCTTTAGGATTTAAAAACCTACTTTCAGGGCTGGGGCTGTAATTCTGGCAGGTGAGATCTTAGGGTCAATCTCCAGCATTGCCAACCCTCAGCAATGTCTACTTTTAGTTGCCTAATGCTCCATAATATAACAAGTTTATTTAAGTTATTTAAGCTATCACATGGAATAAAGTGACTTGATGGCCTTTATTTTGGCTATTTTTAAATAAAGATTCCTCTAATAATGAAGGAATTTTTGACTAAACTCCCGTGATGCAGGCTCATCTGCAAGATGAAACAGAGCTGCATATGAGTGTGGCCTGAGTCAACACAAGTATCGAGGTAACTATCAAGTATGA